TCCTACATTATGTAAGAGGAACTCTACTTTGTGCGGACAGTTTACCTCCGTATATCAGTAATAAATTTCAAAATATCTGGTCGACCAGATAAGTTTGAGACAACATTTAAACAAATTACTTAATCAAAATCGTAATCAAACATTGCGCGCGCAAACACGCGTCTTCAGTTCTTTGGACGCAGTATGTTATAGCTACATCTTCCCATGGGAATTATGAAGAAGACGACGTAAGTGTGAAAACTACATAATTTGATTAAAGGGATTCAAATACTATTTGGATATAATGCCTCGCCACTCATCTGATTCTAATTGTCACTGAATATGTTCATGCTTTTGCTGAACTTCAGCACTTACGGAACAACAATTGTTCCGGAAAACATTGTATGACACAAATTAATTTGTCAACATGATGTTGACATTGAATTTCTTCGCATGACTGACCTAAGTTATTTTGTGCAAAAACAGTTTAATGTCCTGTAATTCAACGTAAATGCTTGTTTTTTTTTCTCGTGTTTACTGCTCTCACATAAAACGCGATTCTTGCCTAGCGCCACACCTTATGATTTTCATGCTGTAAATTACATGCTAGAAGTGTTATCAAATTCACGTTAACAATTATTGGTTCCACTTGGCTACAATGATGTCATTGTTCTATGGGGCGGCATGCCCAAAAACTGATGTTACGGCTTCTAAATTTAACTAATTACATCGAAAATGTTTTGAGTCTGTGAGCGGTAAGTTACCGCATTGAACAGCAGGACGGATATGTGGGTGAAATGTCGTAATGATCTTGTAAGACCTTGCCCTGGTCTAGTCTAAAGAAATATCCAGTCTACGTCTGTAGAAAACCGAGATTAACGGCTGTGGGGATCCATTGTGCTGACCACGCGACACCCTCTATTTGCTAAAGTTGGCACAAACTTCGTCGACAAGCGGCGGTCGCTCAGTCGGTATAGTTTGCTTGCGGATTACAGGCCACGGAGTTTTTCTTTTGTCTGAAGAATCAGGGAGAATCACGAGAACCCTGAGGTGATGTAGCCAGTACCTGGGTCGAAATTAAAAAACTGGCACTTCCCAAGTGCAAAGAAATAACGCTAATCGTTGGAAGATATCGTCCTATTGGAACGTGAGGGAGAACTTCTCCTTTGTAAAGACATACTCCTTCGCCCTCCAAAACACCGAAGTGTGTTATTAATTGAATTTGTGATATGAAGGAAGACCCTTGATGTCTATGCATACGAAATTACTATTTGCAATTTAACCAGAAGAAGAATTGTATTTTGAGTAGCTTTCCACATATTATAGCTTCAGCGTTAATACAGATTATCAGGCTTTAAGTGGTTTGCGTATTTTTTCTTTCTTTATACCCTTTTGACTGTGTCTAAAATTTACAAGACATTTGAAGATTCAAATAGTTTGTGTGTCTGTGCTCAAATGACTTCCTGCCTTCTTATTAATTATTTATAAATTATCCACTGTTTGGAGTCATCACAATTTAAATAACAGCATCAAGTATGAGGTAAAATGCACTCAAAAACCCTCATGCTACAATTTACTTATGATATGTAAGATTAGATATGAATAATGTGTTGTTTTTTTTTTTGTTTGAAACATGCTGAAGTTGTGATTTTAGTCCAGTAGGATTTACACAATTTATGTCAGCAAAGATACAATACATTTGCTGTTAAGGCTGTAAAGTTTTGTATGTGTAGTGTCATGAGCTGCATTACACATTCATTAGACATCATATTTAGGACTGAGTAATTGTTTCATCAAGTCAGTGCCATGGTTAGGCTGAAGGCCTGTCTCGGACACTGACTTGTACTATGTGACCCATACTGTATATCAGCTAAGACAGACTCATCATTAGATAAAGTGGAACACATGGAATGGGGTCTAGGAAACAAATGTCACAGTCCACTTGGACTTGGACTCCCTTGAGGGAGATATTTCTGCCTTGAATAGCATTCTGTCAATCCTGTTGTTACATGAAATACGGTAAATAGTGTTACATAAAATTGGTGATTTTCACAGAGCTGAAGGTTTTACATTGTAATCAGAGACCAGAGGACAGAAATCTAAACATAACCATGCTCATTAATCTTGAGAGAAATTTTCATATTTCTGACATGTTTATATGAAATCTTCATTTTAAATTCTGGGGTCCTAGATTGCATTCTTATCACTGATAAATATTTCCAACCCTTTTCTTCACCCAATTTTGTAATAGAATATAATTAATTGAAGTGGTCATGCATGTACCTAGCATGATACAATAGTGATTTAAAGGATATTTAGCTTTATATCAATACAGAATTCATTTGTGTAGCATTTTACAATTTAAAACTGCACAGTCATCAAAATTAGTGTGTTACATATAATCAGAGAAATGAATATAGTTTATTCTAAAAATTATATAATTACAATTTGTGTTTAATGGAAGATTAATTAAGATTAATTTTTGATGTATTTAATGGCACTGTGACACTTCTACAACTGCACTGAATATAAGATACTAATAGAAAGGAATCTTCTCAGTGATTAAATGTAGAGGATAGCAAAAGTGCAGGCTGATCCAACAAGAGCTTATGCAGAAGAGAATTGTATACTATTCTGAAACTGAGTACTGATATGCTCCTGTTTTGGAATACAAACATTTCTGAATATTATATAATCTGAAATTATATGTATGTGATGAAAGATGGTTTTAGCATAAAGACACCCACTACATATTTGGCAGCTGTACCCTATTAGAAGTACAGTATTACCTCTGTTACATAAACTTGGAAGAATTTTAACTTAGAACAAAACTTCTGCAAAGATTCTGAAAAGAATACATTAATCTTCTGGAATAGTATGTATGTTAATATGTTACACAGGTATTTGGATAGAAGCAAGCCTTCTGAAGCAGAAGACAATTGTTACAGATACTTGCTCTAAGTAATTTAAAGGTACAAATGAAATCATGTACACAGAAAATATTTTTTCCCTTAAAGTCAGATTTCAGGCACTGAACCTTTGTTTTCTGTCTGGAGCATCTTAGAATTCATAGTGAAATTGGTTATTCATTATAAAATTTATTTTACTGACAACCAGGTAACATTTCAGATTATGAAGCTAAAATTGACTAAACTGTATGAACAGTTTCATATGCTAGGTGTTTCAGTAACTTTAAATAGTTACATACTTTGATATCAACCAGTACTGGTAACATTTACATTTACATTTACATTTTCATCGATCCAATCACCTTCCCAAAGGGTTGGATATAAAACGTATCATACATTAAAAATTCATGATGACCACACATCATACGTCCTTGGTCCAATATAGTAAATAATCAGGCCTCATGCAGACAGCAAAAGTTGTCAGAACATCCCACATAGGCTGTGGAAATACCACAGACACGTTCTTTCCAACCTTAACAACTATGTGAGGCACACTTCCACTCCCTACCTTTACACATCGGGCACGCGGTAGTGTAGTTGGTTGAGGCAATATGCTACAAGCCGGAAGGTTGTCAGTTCAAGTCCTGATGAGGTCATTGGATTTCTTTCAATTGACCTAATCCTTCCAGCTGCACTATGGCCCTGGGGTCGACTCAACCTCTAACAGAAATGAGTACCAGGGATTAATTAAATAATTTTCCTGGGGAGTAAAGCACGGCCGGTGCGTAAGTCTGACAACCTTATCTCCATCTTTGAGCCGATTGTCTAGATAATGTGGGACCCTCAATGTCTCACAACCCTATGGGCCTTCACGGCCCGTTGCAGGGATAGCTTTACTTGCTTTTTTACCTTTACACATACATTGGTCAGCCATATCATCAATACAGTTTCATTGTAACATATTACAAAATACATAACAAGCACAGTCATCATACATATTACCACACAACACGCGAGTCTCAACAACGTATAATACGAGAACACAGACCACTTAATCACTCTTAAAATTTGAGCCCCTTGCATGCTCGACAGATTCGTCAATAGAGTAAAATGAGTTTCTTTACAAATAAATTTGTAAAGCAAATATAAATTGGTTTTTATCATCTTTTAAAACAGAGATACTTGGCGGCAAAGTATTAAATAGCATGATGCCTGAATAATACACCCCTCTCTGATAGGATGATAAATGTATTATAGGTACTATAGAAATTGGACTGTAGTTACTTAATAACAGCCTTTTTCCCTTTTGTGTATATTGGGTTAATAATTGCATATTTTAATCTTTCTGGATATAGACCCGTGGTTAATGACTTGTTAATTACATAAGTTAAAGGTTTACTAATTTGTTGTCTGCACAGCTTTATTATTTTATTAGTTATGCCATCATACCCTGAAGATTTTTTGATTTTAATTTGTTAATTATAATAAGTGTTTCTTCCTCTGGACTAAATTAAAATTCATATTTGGAAAAGCATTAGGGAAATTGGTATGGAACTATGACATTGCAGTATATATATAATATAATAAAAAGTAAAAAGTAAATATATCCCTGTATCAGGCCTTGGGGGCCCATAGGGATATCAGATGTTGAGGTTCCCACATTTTCTACACAATCGGCTCATAGATGGCGGTAAGGTTGTCAGCATTATGTGCCGGCCGCCCTTTACCCCCAAGAATATTCCAAAAATATTCCTGGTACTCATTTCTGTTAGAGACTGAGTCAACCTCAGGGCCATAGTGCAATTGGAAGGATTTGATAAATTGAAAAAATCCAATGAACTCATCAGGATTCGATCCCGAGACCTTCCAGCTTGTAGGATAGTGCCTCAACTAACTATGCTACCGCGTGCCCCCAATATAATATAATTAATATAATATAATATAAATTATTAACTGGAGATTTTGAAATATTATAACGATTATATAAAAATGATAGAAAAAAGATTTTCTATTCATTTGCTGTATTGATATTTAGAATTTAGTACATAAAGTAAGCAAACTGAATTATCTGACACAAATAACTTACTGTCATTCTATTTCTTCTATTTTCAGCATCGCAAAAATGCAGAACAGGATGTCAAGGACGTAAGTATATCCCACTCTGTGTATGAAATATTAGGCATGGAAATTAATATCTCATATCCATGCAAATGCAAGGTTATTTATCATCTGATTTTTGTGAAACTGGAAATCCAGGGAAGCAAATGTTTATATCTACATTTAAATAGGCCTTAGAATTAGTATTTTTTGTTCATGTATGGTTATTCTCATCAATGCGCATATTGATAAGTAACATGTTATGCTTGCTACAAATAAAGAACATTCAATATTCTTCCTTCTTTATACTCTTTATACTCTTCTTCTGTATTTGGTAAGTGAATCTAAGAATCCCACTCTTGTAGTGTCCCTATAATTTACTGTCACATGTCAAATAATGTTAGATTGCTTTCCATCATATATATATGTGTGTGTGTAATTTTAAAATTACAGTAATATTTTGCAACACAAGTTTGGTTTTAATTTTCCCAGTGTTGTTAAAATATGAGCCAAGCAGAGGTCAGAACTTGAGTCCATTTCATTACCTAGGTTTATGACATCCATTATAATAATTATAGTCAAGTGATTAGATACAGTTAATATTTGATTTGGGGTGGGGAGGAGGAGGAGGAGGCGGAGGAGAAGAGTTATGGTTCATGAAACTTTTTAAGTTTAATATGAACTAATGAGATTATTTTAAAATGAAAAATCAAATAAAATTAGGTCTATTTTTTATATTGTCCTGATTTTAGTGACTAAATGGGTCTTTGACTGGTGATTTTATTTACTGAAATCTTACAAAATGCAACTAAGGGTTACTATAGCACTATTGCTAAGTCACACACTCTGCAGTTCAGTACAGGCGCTTTAAATATTTTCAGTCTGCTGTGTCTTCACCAGTCGTCTGAGAACAGCTTCCAGTGCCATTGTTTCCTCAGCTTCTGTGTTCATGCCCTTACTGGCTGGCTACTGTCTCCCAGCTCACTAAGTTTGAGACTTGTCCTGCATATAACACCTCGGCATAGAAAGTACCAGAGTCAGAGACAGAGTCACTTTGCTACTAGTGGTTTACCACCAATCACTTTGTCTTGAGACCCCCTTGAGACCCATGATCAGAATTTTTATTTTCTAACTGAACACTTGCGGTTATTGTCCTTATGTAACATCCTCTCTGATGAGAGGATGGGTCTGTTGTTTACAATTGCTGCTGGTCCTCACGAGCACAATCATTCTCAGGTCCAAGTTCTGCGGGACTCATTACCGCATTTTACTGTCTTAAATTCGAGACTTCACCAAGCTGGAGGGCCAGGTTTCTGTTTCTATATCCCCCATGAACAGGGTGGCCTGCTTATACCCCCAGGCACCAGGTTGCTCTCCGAAAAATCCTATCTGTCTCAGATGGTACCACTTCCAATAGTTCTCCTATCGTTGCATCACACAGCTCTTGCACGGATGGCACAGAGAACACCTCTTCCCAATTAGTCCATAGTTTCATGTTAGGAATCCGTTGCCTAGCAATGGACATTGTTTATAGAGTCATTATTTAGCTATGGTTCTACATGCTCCTTAAGGCTCTTCATCATGAATTGTCTACAGGCATACCAACATTTATTCTTTTCCCAGGGCTGTGCTTGTGATGTCTGTGATGGGCCTCGCTTTCCTTCCCCATGGCTTGGTTCTCATTGTGATTACTCTCCAACTGCTCCTGCTGCTGCCTTCTTAATGTCGCTCATCCTGATCGGTTCCCTGATAAGGTATATCATCTTCCTATGGTCAGAGCGGGCAAAAGTTCCGAGAGTGGTCGATGCTCCTGTATCTATGACTCTTAAGCTGCTAATAGGATCTCTTTCGTTTGGGTGGTGGCTGGCTCCTCCGTGATGCCTTAACACTCATTTTTAGAATCCTCACAGAAGACCCAACTCCAGCTCGATTGTCTCTCCGAGGGCCTCATAAAATGTCTCCTTGCTTCCCAAGCGTAGCTGCTGTATCAGTCCTCAGTTCCATATGCCATCGTTGCATTCTGAGCCCTTCCTTCATATTTTCTCGACCATCAGCCCTTTATGACCGCATCCCTTAAGCATGATGGGCTATTCATCTGCAGGCGGCGACAAACTTCTTCTGGAACCCCCCATTGCCTTGGGTCCATTTCTTCGGCTATCAGCGGCTCCCAGCGGCTAGATGCCGGTCCCCATATCGGTCCTCTAGTGCTCCATTGTTTTCACTGCACCCTCTTCCTGAGGGATGTTCTGCTGCTCCGCTACTACCTCCGAGTATTCTCAATTAGCCATCAAATCCTTGATGTCCATTTTGTTCAACCTTTCTTCAAAGTCATCCCCCACGGTCTCCATTTTCTCTAGCTAGGAGAGTATCCTGGTCATCACCCTTTCATGATGGATATGTAACTTGGCATCCATCCTTTCTTGGCTGGTTTCCATCTTGGCCAGCATTTCTTCTTTCAGGAGTTTTTGGTGGCCTGCTCTCATTTCTTCTTTTAGGTGTTCTTGGCCAGCTCTCATTTATTCTCTCATTTCCTCCGGATTTGCATCCATCTTGGCTTGGCTGATTTTCATGTCATCCAGAAGGCATGCCATCATCATTTGTTCCATCTCCATAATGTGACGATATAGCTTCTTGCTGCGGTCTCCAATCCAACCATTTCCGACACCAACTGTGAGGAGTATGAATTATAGATGCATCTGGGATTTGTAACAGGATTTATTGAAGTCTTACAGAACATAACTAAAAGTAACTATAGCTCTATTGCAAATCCACATGCTCTGCCGTTCACTACAGCACCCACTGTTCTTTCAGTCTGCTGTGTCTTCAGCAGTTGTTTTCTGGTAATGGCTTCCAAAGTTGTAGCTTCCTCAGCTTTTGTGTTAACACCCTCACTTGCTGGCAACTGTCTCTCAACTTACTAAACTCTAGACATGTCCTCCTTAGCATGGACCACATAGAAAACGTCGCTTCCAACAGCTCTATTGTTGTGTCATGTGGCCGTCACACAGACAGCATGAAGAACGTCTCTTCCTAGTTAGTTCATTGGTGAATGTTAGAAATCTATTGCTTAACAATGGGCGTTGTTTGCAGAGTCATTATTTAGCAACGGGTCTACATGCTCCATGCTAATCCTTCAGATTAGGCTAACATACACATAAACCTTGAATAGGCATTTAGAAAGTTCATTAATTATTTCCTATCGAAAGGGAGTAATAATATTAACATAGGTCTTAAGAAATGGTTGTGTTTGTTAATTGTTGTAATTGTCTCAGAATAAGGCACTGTGGTAAGCTTTCTGTGCCTATGTCAATGTTGCATGATTTTCCTTAAAAATGTGTTTCTTGTGCTACTTAAGAAACTCTCTGTCTCATAGAGTTGACATAAGTAGTTTCAAAATACATTGCAGCATAGGTGCAAAGAAAGACTGTTACCATGAAGTGGGAGAAGAAATTATTGTGACTGTGCATTTCACTTTTTTCTGTTATTGCTTCATGCTGCAACTTTCTATCCATAATGATTCAAAAGGGAGAAGGAAGGGAAATAGTGCTTCCTGGCATAGTGTTAGGCAAATGTACCAGTAGGAAGATGGTTTAAGATCATCTTGAATCCTGCTCCAGTTCTGTCCATGAATTCAGCATTTTAAATTACTATTATCAAGCTATGTAGATTGTAGTGTGTCCCGTCTAATCCTGCAGTATCCATGTGAAAAATCCTTAAATGTCCATGTTTATTTTATAGGACCCTCTGTCTTCCAAGTGAATTATGGGACCGGGCATACATATGTATATAATTTTGAGGGGAACACTCTTGCGACACTACCAGGACAACGAGGAGATGGAACCAAGCTTCAGCTCAAAGCAACAGCAGAAGTCAGCATCTTAGACAACTGTCAAGGTGTCCTAAAGCTGAAAGATGTCCAAGTCACTGGACCTGACTCACAGGTAAAGGTCTTCATTTAACAAAATAGAAGTGCTGAAGGTATACCATTTCACATTAAAATATCTTTTACAGTTGGATAGATTAAGGTTTTAGTAAGAATGCATTTTTATTTTTGTTTCAAAAGCATCAAATAGGTTCATCATCATATCCATGCATGCATTTATCTATAATTAGCATCTCTGAAACAATAAACTAAAGTTGATGAAAATCTATATAGTTCGCCTGCATTAAGTTCTATTGAACAATTCTCATTTTGGTTTAGCTCAGTTTGTTTAAGGACTTAAAGTTGACTTTTGCATACATATTGCAATTCTTCCAGCAGATATTGATGATATTTGGTGAACAACATTATATCTATCATATGGATATTACTATGTGTAACTTCTATTCACTCATCTTATTACACACTTTACTTAAAAGCATAAATAAATTTTTGGAGGCATTTGACCAAATATTCACCAAAGAGAAAAGAGTGTTGAATAAAAGCTTGTATATATTTAAGAAATGGGGGGCATGTGGTAGTTATAGTTGGTTGAGGCACTATGCTACAAGCCAGAAGGAAGCGGGTTCAGTTCCCAATGAATTAATTGGGTTTTTCAATTGCCTAAGCCTTCTAGCCACACTATGGCTCTGGGGTTGACTCAGCCTCCAACAGAAATCTTCCTGCGAGTAAAGGGCATTCAGTGTATAAGGCTGACAACCTCACCTTCATCTGTGAACCAATTGTCTAGAAAATGTTGGAGCCTCGATATTTCACAATCCTATGGACCTTCATGGCCTGTGACAGGGATAGCTTTGTCTTTTTTATATTCAAAATTAAATATGTCATATCTTATATAATACATAGAAAATCTCCCTCATTTTCATAAAATCACCAATGTATCATGTAACACCTATTGAATGTATACCATTGAAAAGAAACATCGTTTCATTGCCACCCTAAAAAAGTTGCATTGGCTAGCTTTCTTTAAAACAGAGTTATTTTCTGTTTGAAAGTATTTTCTATTTTTCATTACTATTGTTGAAAAATAGACATGCAGCATAAGAACAATAATCCTGATTAGTTTTGAAATTCATTTTTTTTCCTTGTCACTACAGACCCAGTGGGCCTAGGTCTACCTCCATGAACTTCTCCGTTCAATATATGAGACAAACTCCGTCTTAAGTGCAACAATTTAATTGTAGTTCTTCTTTCCTTCCTCTACACTACATGTTTCGGCCCTAAATGGCCATCATCAGGTGTATATTCTTACATAGCTGCTACACTGCCCATAGTTTAAAATTTAAAACACCAGTCTTTCCAATTGTATGTATGTATAAAATCTTTGTTAACCTACACATGTCAATTTGATTTCCAAAATTGGCACTTTTTAAAACTTCATTCAAATTAAAATGTCTTTAAATTTTCCGTTATTACCTGATTGTCAGCAATTGAAATGGTAATAAATATCAATATCAGTTTTAAAATAATATGAGTAAGGATTATGGTTTTGAATATTCCAGCTGATTTACCTTTGCTTTTAGCAAATGTGTAATCATGCTTTCAGCAATACTGTTCTTCAGAATAGTCCCAGTAAAGAAAGTTGTTTCATAGCTGCATTATGGGCACTGCCCACGACTAATCTGGTAGTGGGGCTACAACTTCTCTACTTTCAGGCTTGCAGGGTTCTTATTTGATCACCAGCCTACATTTGATGCCTTCACCATGGCTGCCAAGTTACATATACCCATTGCAGGTTACTCTTAGTTTCCTCTCTCCTTTTATTTCTAGCAAGTTAGTCAAACTAGACTTCCCTGGTAAGTTTCTCTACTAGGCCTTCTACCACAATTAGGCGAAACCAATGAGATAGATTTGTACTTTCTGTGTATGCTAATTGATACATAAAATGCCAATTAAAAGTTTTTACAATAAAAGGAAATATAATTCATCTGCATTGGAGAGTACAAAATGTGGCGCCAAACTGTGTGAGACAAACATATTGAAATGTACTGTGTTTCTCCATTGTTTGGCGCCTAGAAATACAGTCATCTTGATGACCTGGAAGCCCATCCAGTATCATTTGGCTTTGAAAATGGCATCGTGGACAGGGAATTATGTACGGAAGAAAAGGACAGTGAAGCTTCAGTCAACATCAAAAGGGCAGTGCTGTCTCTTTTACAAGTGACTCCAGCAGAAACAACAAAATCACGTAAGAGCAAAGTGGTAAGTAATCTTATTATTTCAAACATTGTGATTCTTATGCGTCTTTCCTGAAGTAAATGATATCATTCATGTTTGCAAGTTGGTTCTACAACCTATTGCTTTATTTAGAAACGAAACAGTTCCTTACATTCTGTTTTATTTATTCCCAACAGTTACACCACTATTCATGTAATAAAAGTATTACTTAACAACATTGGCCTAATAATGAATCAACAGCATCATTTAGCAGTCTTATTAAAAAGGTGTGATAATTTTTTTTCCTTTCAAGTATTCAGTAAGTGCCGTGAGAATGTGACATGTAACAACTTGCAGAGATGATTATAACTGTCCAGAAATATTTGCATTATCAAATTTAAAACAAGTGCTTAAGACAATTCAATTCAATTCAATTTATTTACATTCCGTAAAATCCAGATACAGGTAGACACCATAGGATATGGAACAAGTCAAATACAGTGATTCTGCACAATAACAATCTAATCAAAAAATTAATAAGAATACAAATTACATAAATATAAGTTAAATGTCCTTCAATTTGAGACTGTTAGCAGGAACGGTGTTAATGAGTACATCGCTAATAAGTAATAAGATTATAAATTACATAGATACAACTTAATTATACATGTGCATCACAATTTGAGCCTTTTGTCAAAAACACTGCCTCCTTAAGAAGAAATTAACTAATGTATCAATTGAAATGCTTTAAAAACAATATTTTAGGCCAACACAACATTTACTTATAATGTTACTTACTAGCTATTCTGTAAATTTTAATAATATGTGTATGTATATATATATTTGGATAAACGGCAGGCCATGCAGGTATACAAGGCTGGAGATGAAGCTGGATGAAAATGAATAGTGTACTTAATTCAGCAGCTGCTTTAGAGCTACCTTACTAATGGGATGGTTGAGTGGGCCCCAAATCTGCTCTGAAATTGTCAGTGAACACCCATGAAGGAGACCACACCCTCACAATTTATACTGTAGTCTTCTATTTTAAAGGCCAAGCCATCATATCTCATAATATTGAATCATTCAGTAAGTTTAGTCACTGTGCATATGATACAAAACTGAACAACTGCACTGTTAATTAAGTGATAATTTTAATTTATTTCACATCCACTTTTCTGTTTTGCATTGCATTGTCCTGATGTAGACACAAAATCAGTTTTCACTGGTTCACTCACACATCAGGACGCTATTTATAGATCTACTGAATTTTGTTTACTGTAATGGTGTGTGGTCCTTAATTCTTTAGTTCTTTATTTTCTATATTCTTTCAGTTCAAGAGTAACATGAAAATAACCTTAAAAAATGAAATTAGTGTCATGTACATTTTTAATATATAAAATTGCAGACATTATCTTTAAATTGGATGTAGACCTTTCATTTGCTCTTAGATATTGTTTAATTTGGAAATATAAAATTTTGTGATTGTGAAAATACCCATTTTCTCAGTATAGCTAGTATTAATGTTGAATGTCTATCTAAACAATCATTGAAAGTCATAAACATCACTAAAAAGGGGATTAATAACAGGAATTTTTGTTCTTTACTGATATTACTTTATTGGTATAGAATATAAATACTATCAAGAAAAGGGCAAATTCTTTTAGATCTGTTAGCTCTATTAGATTGTAACAGAGAGTTTGTTCTACAAGTAGGCACAGAAATAATGAACAAACATTTATTATTTGTTTACTACAGAATCTACTGCAGAATGTTAAGATTGTGCCTTACGTTATAATAATTTTAAAATTTATGTCTGAAACTTGATACTTTGGACATGCTTCATTATTGTGGTATAGTGTTATTGAATTTGAGGTTTAACTTGCAGCTTGATGTGTTTGGCCTCTGCCCTACTGACTTCAGTGTTAGTGAACGTGGTGACACAACAACCATTACAAAAACTAGGAATCTCAATGAATGTCAACTTCGTGAGCATCTGCGTCAGGACTTTGCTTCTGTAACATACAGTGTTGATTCAGTGAGTATATATATATATTTTTTTTTTATGCATAAAATAAAATCCTTCTGTTGTTCCAGTATCTGTTCTCCTGTCCAGCATTCTTTTTGGTTATTAGGAGATGATATCAGGTACATTATAAATAAGAAATCTATGTCCGACATTGTTTCATCATGAGGCAACTCTATGTGGTTAAACTCATATTGGTTCCCAACACCACAAGTTTTTGTACAGGTATACTGCAAGTTAATGTTTCAGTGTTTTGGCCATTGTCATGCGTTGCACAGTCACTGCTAACCTGACTGCTCCTTCTGCAAATTGGTTGATGTTCACATTTGATATATTTTACTGTAGGATTTTACACTGAGGTGTACTGCTCCTGTACACATCTTGTATTAAAGTATTAAATATTAAGATGCTAGTATTGAATATTAAGATTCTCTGTATAATATCATGTAATTGTTAACATTTTGATAATTATAAGATGCTTATATTTTCTTTTGATGGATATAGATCTGTTTAGGTTAATTTGCTGTGTTTATATGGGTGCTGTATGTGGTTTCTACTGGGGGTCTGGTTGTATCTATTGTGTTGTGATGCAGGCATTCATTGCATTTGTCATAATTAATTTTTTATTTCTGATAATGGAGTTTGTTCTGGTTGTGATCTTGTATTGATGGGCATTCTGTTGTGTAGAATAATTATGCTGGACAGAAGGAAATCATGAAATATCACAGACAGGTTAGCTGGTCTTGAGTTTGATATTTTAACCTGGGACTTCTAGAACACAAAACAGGATTGCAACTGACTTCACCACGAAATTCAGTAAAAGTCTTGGCAATAACTGCTAAACAAGTTTTTGTTTTTGTATCTAATACTCAGCATTTCAACTTCATTGATTACATCTGACAAGTCTTGTTACTACTCGCTAGGATTTCAGTTTTGACCAGTCAGAATCTGAACTCCAATTTAGAATTAGCCACAATTGAAGTGATATACCCTGTGTTACATTAAAAAAAATCAGTGGTACACTGTACCTATAAACAAAAATTATTTGAAACTGGATAACTAAGATTGTAATATTACTTGTACTAGTTTGCTTATAACAATACATCTACAAATAGCATAGATTCACTCCTCTTTTATGCAATATATTAGTAATGTTTTATAATTATTATAATTTTACTGATCATTTGCAGTATTGTCATTATACACCTGTTGACACTATGAAGTATATACTGCATAGAAATTATGATGAACATGATACTAATTGCACTACAGTGTGGCAGAATGTTACAGTACAAAAGTTATGATACAGCTTATTTTGTTATTTCTGTAGGGTTTGCAGACAGCTCCTCTACTAGAGTCCACACAAGAACTCCAGCAGAAACTCAAGGATGGTGTTTTAAACAGTGCTGAGAGTCATGAAACGTACCTGTATAGGCCATTCTCAAATCAGGAAGCTGGTGCCAAGACTACAGTTGACAGCAAGTTGACACTTGTTGTTAGCAAGAGGCAAGCAGCACCTGCAAGTGAGTTACAGCAATTACACAGGTTCTATGTACAAATTTAATACAAAGTGTTCAGTGAATTCCCATTTTGGGGTTGAATTGCATCAGTATCTTTTTTTTTTTTTTTGTCTGGCAGTGGGTTCTTCAACTTCAAGGTTAACCGTAACCATTGTGTTGTTGATTAGGCTGTTTGATATCCAATGGGTCATTTTTTATTTGATGGTTAGTGAATGAATGGCTGAAAAGAAAGAACCCATATTCAGAATTGCCTTTCCATTCTCTAAAGAAAGTGTCTGACCTTGTGTTGAACAAAGTAGGCTGGAACCCAGCTGGCCACTCAGAAAGAAAGTACAGTATTTCATGTGAGCTTGTGGGCAGTCTGTGTTGAAACATCTTTAAGACTTGTTTTCTTACTGTATATTTAAAATATTTGTTGAAAGTAGTGTCCATTAACTTCCAAACAAACTTTACAATAGTATAACAGATTCTGTGACAAGTGCTGAATGTAATTTTANACCACCTTCTCCCAGTAACTTGAGCACATCTCCAGGTACATCATCATCTCCTGTAGCCTTTCCCTTCCTCATTTCCTTGATAGCTTTTTCCACCTCACTTTGTAAAATATATGGCCCTTTCTCGTCTGTATCTACTTCTTCTTCCAGTTCAACTTCTAAGGTTTCTGGCCGATTAGGCCGATCATATAGTTCTGAAATATAATTTTCCCAAATTTTCAGCACTTGCCTCTGATCTACTATTCTATTCCCCTGGGAGTCTTCGATGCCAACATTTTGAATCCCATGATTCTCTTTCCATCCCAGTTCTTTTGTCTTCATGTACATCAAATCATAACGGCCTGTTCTTTGAAATTCCATAGTCTCGTTACATATCTTCTCAAGATATTCCTTTTTGGCCCTGTCCGTGGCTCTTTTCAATTCATTCCTCAGTCTCCTGTATTTCCTCCTGCCTTCTTCATTGTCGACATTCTTCCATTTTCTTCGCTCCTCCAAAATACATATATGAAATATATGTATAACGTTTCTGCTTCAAATTTCCTAGATAAAATCACAAACAGAAAAGTTAGACATTCAGCGAATATATCAAAACGCATAAACAGTTTAATTTTTATGGACATTTGCAGCATCTGGAAGTACTCCTCGCTCACTTGTATTTGAACCACCACATTTTGGCAACACGGGATCCAGCAATGCTGCAGCTATTGTTGAGGCTCTGCACAAAGCACACCATGCCATGCCAGACCATGTTGGAGAAACGGCAGCAAGGGAGTTTGCCAATGTTGTCACCATCCTCAGGCAGAGCAATAAGGATGACCTCCTTTCAGTCTACAGCCAGGTGAAGGCAGGCGCTGGTTTCAAGGCAGGAACGTAAGTAATTGTGTGAATTGGTGAACTTGCACAAATATTTTTCTAGAGTAGAACACAATGAAAAGTAGAAGTTTAAAGTAAGAGTTTCAATGTCACATGTGTCTGGTGCTTCATTTCTTTGATTGAAATTCTGTAACCTTGAATACTGGCATACTGTAATCTTTCAGGATATTCAGTTATGGATATTGGCATTGCTAGTAAAGGTTTAATTTTTAATTTACTTAGGCTATGACTAGGAAATTCTTTGTAAATCTCCCACTAAAACATAATAAGAATAGAGATTGGTTAATGAACAGATGTTCAATGAAATTATCACATACTTTGTTTAGCTCTTTCCAGTGCATTGCCAAATGTTACATGATGCAATTGGAAAATCATATCTCAAAAATATGAAGAATGGTAAATATTTATTCATATAAGTGTCTCAAAATGTGCATTTTCTGACACACTGAGAACAGTTAAGCTGGTATTATTTTTGTTATATATTAACTACCTGCCAATAATTATCAATGATGTGAAGGTAGTTTTATTTTAATACAGTACAAAAAATGTAACAACAGCAGAAAATAGATAGATCCTCCAGCAGAAAATAAATAAGGTAATGAATTATTTGTATTCATTGTTTTAAGTAAATGTACTTGTAAATACTGAGGAAACATGAGCATTGTCATTTTATATTAGGCAAGAAAGACATTCAGTGAAACCTCAAGTCAGTTTGACAGTACTGAGACATACACATTAGTGAATATATGAAATGGGATGCACATGTAATGACATCGTACTGCAAACTTAGTAAATTTTGTTATATACTTAAAACTCTTAAGGATGTAAAGAGCCCACATACTGTAAGGAATACTTATTTTGAATATTTTTGTGCTTTAATCATGGTTTAATTTTCTGAGATGGTGACTCAAAATGTAAAAGAAGTTTTAAATTACAACAGGAAGTTCTAGGAAAAACTAATTCCATACTTTCCTTGACATGACATTGACCACATAGAAAACAGTGCCTCCAACACTTCCTCTTTGCCTCAGGAATGAGTTTACCAAGCCATTACTTAGCAATGATAGGGAATATACAGACAGAACCACATACTCTTCTTTGATACAACATGGACCACATAGGAAAAATGTGTCCAAAAATTCTTCTGTTACTGTGTGTATTCATTGCCTAGAAACATAAACATACAAACACACAGACTGATGGGAGACATTTAAGAAGTATGCCAATCAAATGGGTTCAGGTGCTATGATATGCATACCAAGTTTCATAAAAATTGGTTGAGGTATTCAAAAATTGATGTGGGGTGGGAATTCATAGACACACAAAGAGCGTAGTGATTTCATAAGCCTCTTATATTTTTCAAAACAAGGAAAGTTGGATAGAAATGGGTTATATTAATAATCAGTGGTGAGGGGAGGTATGCGTCATGTATGCAGCTTTTTAAGGATTAAAGTATACTTCCAGTAACTTGCATATGTAGAGCAGATACATATAAAGAAATGGGAATGAAATGATATAATTCATAATCATAACAGTTGCCAGAATCTGAGCGACCAGGTTCAGTTTTGGAGAATGTACGTTTACTAGAAAGGTTAATGAATAGGGAATTAAATTACACACTGTATTACCAAACAAAGTTAAAGAAGTGGAAAAGTGAGACAATTAAAAGAGAACTGATATCCTACCTATTACAATATACATTTTACTCTGTAGTTGAATATATGTCATTAATTAGTAAAATATGATATTTGAGTCAGTTTGTTATTATGAATTGTATCTGTATTGTACAAAAGTATGAAGGAATTTAGTTGAAATATTTATATTACTTTTAGATACATATATAAAACATATGCTATATAAGTAATTTGACTAAAAGGGGTGAATAAAATTGAATTTAATTAAATATAAGTTGCTGCTCTATGTGTTTGTTTAAGATGTCTGCATTACTTATTTATTCTTTGTCAGGACAAAATTATGTAGGTCACTCCAAAAGCAATGCAAAACATTTTTTAAAAAATCAGTATTTATTCTACAGTTTTGCTATTTGTAGGGTGCATAGAGACCCTGAGAGCTACACCAGCGATAGCGTAGCTACTGGCAGGGCCTCCCTTGCTGGGCAGGTCAAAGGGTAGGCATCAGTCGAAGAGAGGCACCAAAAACCAAAAACTGATGCCGGAAGCAGCATCATCAGCAGCAACTTGAAGCACATAGCAAATGATGCTTGAGATGGTTCAAGTTCGTATAGCAACAGGCGTGACCAGAGTGGTTTGAATGGCTGTTGTACTGCGATGTGGAAAGCAAATGGAGAAACTACCATATTATCACTTTTCCTGGATAGTCCCTTTCCAAAAACAGAGATACCATGTATGCGAGATACAGAAGACGAGGAAGAAGATGTAAGAAGATGCTGGATGACTTAGGGGACAGAAGAGGATATTTTTATTTGAAGGAGAAAGCTCTAGATCGCATTAAGTGGAGGAACTGTTTTGGAAGAGACTGTGGACCTGTCGTCTTAACAGATTACTGATGAATGAATAGAAGGATCCTTTCTGCTTGCATTCAAATTTAATTCAACCCATTCCCATGCCTAGTGCTGTCATAGCACTCCTTCAAAATGGCTTCTGCGCTTGATGTTCGTCAAAAGCATCGTGCTGTTATAGAGTCCTTGCGTTGTGAGATTGAGACAGTGGGCAACATTCACAAGGATTGAAAAATGTGTGTGAAGATGACACTATCGATCATGGTACAGTTATTTGGTGGGCACACAGGTTATCTGGTGAAAGTGGGCATGCCAATATTCAGGATTCTCCTCACACTGGCAGACTGCACACCGCACGGACACCTGACAATATGCAGCGTATTAATGATATGGTTTTGGAGGACACACCTGTGCCTGTGAAAGAAATGTCAGTCCAACTGGGAATCTGGGAAGCAAGTGTATGCAAAACATTGAAGTAGTTGAGGTTGAAAAATGTTTGTGCAAGGTGGGTACCAAGGATGTTAACAGATGACCACAAAGAAACCCAAAAAAACTGTGTGTGGTGAACCCTTGGCACATTATGAGAATAGTGGAGATGACTTTCTTGCGAGAATTGTGATGGGAGATGAAACATGGCCGCACCATTTTGAACCAGGAACAAAGTGGCAATCAATGGAATGGCACCATGCGAAGTCGCCCAAGAAAAAGAAATTTAAATCTGCGTCTTCAGCAAGAAAAATTATAGCTACAGTCTTTTTTGATTCAGAAGGTGGTTTCTTATAGACATCATGCCACAAGTAACCACCATTATTTCTGACACACATGTGGCAACCCTAAAGAAACTTCAAGCTCAGCTGAGTTGTGCTCGACCATATTGGCAGAAACCAGATGTTTTGCTGTTGCACGACAATGCCTGGCCACACATCAGTCAGAAAACCAAGGACAAGATCACAAAACTTGGATGGACAACATCACCAAACCCTCCTTATAGTCCTCTGATTACCATCTCTTTGATAAACTGAAGGAATCCCTTCATGGAACAAGATTTGAAGATGATGCCCTCATTACAGCCACTAAACGGTGGCTCAGACTTGCTGGTCCAGAGTTTTACCGTGCTGACATACAGGCCCTAGTTCCTAGGTGGCGTAAGGCAATTGAAAGGGATGTAGATTATGTGGAGAAGTGACATTTTGTTCCTAAAGTGGTAAACTTAACGATATTTCAGAAAGGTGGATGGTATTCTGGTATCAAACTTTATAACCACCTCCCTCCAGAGCTTAAACAATTATCTTATGACATTCCTGGATTTAAAGTGGCGTTAAAGAAGTTTCTTATCACCAGTTCTTTTTATACTGTTGAAGAATACTACTGCTGGAAGAAAGATTGACACCTCATGTATATATTTTAATCATGTATGTAATTTTAAATGTTATTTTGATTTATGAATGTATTATGGTACAGTAGTTTTGTTGTATTTTGACGATGATGAATGTCTGATTATGTATGTATATTTATATGTTATATTGTATTATTGACTTGTTCTGTATCTGAGGCAGATGCCTCTATGGATTTTTTTGGAACTGTAAATAAATGAAAAAAAAAAGGATGTCTGAACATACTGTGTAAGTAGTAAAGGTCTAGAATAAAAATTGAATTAAAGAAATATTGTGCATAACTTTTGCAGTGACCCTCGTATATGTTCCAATACTAATTTTATATTTACTTAAAGGTGGGTGCAAGACACTATTGTTGAATGTGTTTCCACTTTGCAGAAAAATGTTCCTGGATGCTTTGTTCCGAGCTGGCACTGGTGATGCAATTGAAGTTGGTGTTGAACTGCTGAAGAACAAGAAAATCCCTCAACCATATGCTGATTTATACTACCTTCAATTTGGGTCCGCAAAACATGCAACATTACCTTCCCTCACAGCAGCTGTGGTGAGTGAAAAATTAATTCCTTTTGCTGTAATTTTGTTACAACAGGTAATGATCTACATATTCCATGTTTATTATTTGATCATTGCTTCTCAAAATATTATCATCATTCATTTAGGTAGCAAGTCATATGGCCTGTTGTAGTTGCATGCCGTCTTGCATGTGGTCTTCCTGTGTTTCTCCTTCCCTTACACTTGTAAGCTGTAATCTGTTTTCAGTCCCTGTCGATTTTGATTCTTCTTACATGTTCTTATCATAGAGGTAATTAATTTAGCATAAATTTTATGACATTGAAGTTTTAATTCTTCTAAAATATCTTGAATTTTGGTTTCGTTCTGATGTCATGCTACTGAAATCAAAGTAATTATTCCTGGTTTAAGTGAAAATTTACAGAAGTAAAGTAACAGAAAGATTGCTTAATTCATTTATATGAAACAAAAAGAAATTCAGTTGCATACCATGAAACTTAATTTTTCACAACACATAATCATAACTATTACTAGTACAGTAAGAGATTTGCAAGATATCATGTGTTTTGATATATAAACTTTTAAAATTTTTAATATTCTCTGGAATTTCTTATTACTATGGATGGCCTCTTTGTGGCAAACTAATATACTCTAAAACAGCTATTTCAAACTTTAGTCTGTAGATGTCTAACAACTCGCAAGTGAACTACAGTCAACTCTCGATTATCCGGGCTAATGGTGGGGATGGAAGTCACGGTTAATCGAAAACCCGGTTAAGCCAAATTTTATTATACGGGCTGGACGACTGTGAAGGGTCGGAGTTCGAGTCCCGGTAGGGTCAAGAATTTTAACTTCTCCAAATCGTCCAGACCGGCTCTGGGGTCCATCCAACCTCCTATCCAATGGGTACCGGGGGCTCTTTCCCCGGGGGTAAAGCGGCCGGGGCGTGAAGCTGACCACTCACCTCCAACTAGTGCCGAGGTCAAGAAAATTTGGATCTATACATCCACTCCCCCACACGCCTTAATGGCGTAGGGCTTAATTCGTTGAGCAGAGGAACAACTTTACCTTTTACCTTTTAATACCTTCATAATACTATAGACCTACCTGTATTTAAATTTATTCATCCTCATTTCTATGTCATCTCATGGCCTATTTAATACTTTCTTTACATTACACTCAGTATGAATTAGTTATTTCAATCACTGTTCAACAACATCCAGCACTTTTTACGGTCACACTTAACACTTAAAATAATTTAATACTGTCTTTTGCTTTTTCGCGGCATTTTCCTTTTTACGGATATCCGTACGAAGCCTACGTAATATTAGCTTGTCACTTAATAAACTGTCCTCTTCACTCTCAAGATAGTCTAGTAAGGATTCCAAATGATTAAGCGCAGCACCATGTGATACTTTCTTACTGGCAACACTGTCCACCTCTTCCTCATTCTCACTTTCTTCCCGCTCTTCTGGCTGCACCC